ATCTACTGTGGATGGAGGATTATAACTTTTAATGGTTGAACTGGATGGACTTTTGTCTTTTTTCAGCCAGACTAACTATGTAACTATCCCGTATACCCCTACACCTCGTACACCCCGTACATCCCACACATCCTGTACATCCCATACATCCCATATACCCATACACCCGATACATCCCATATACCCCAAACATCCCATATACCCCTACACCCCGTACATCCCATACACCCTGTGCATCCCTAGTGAGTCCTGAGCTTTCCTCCTTTCCAGCTCCAGGCTCGCAGGCAGGCCCCATCCCAGCAGGCCTCCTGGCAGCCTTCTTCCTCCAGCCTCACACTCCTCTCCTATTACCACACTCCTGCTACTGAGCAGGCTCTAACACCTTTTAAGGGAGTCCAGCCCCTTGCCAAGCCTCCTGTTGGAGATTGGCTAAGGTCCCTCAAAGGTGCAGCCAACCACTCCTCAGATCCACCCACTGCTTCCCAAGCCCACCTCCTGAAAAGGGGAAATTCCAGAGGGGCTGGCCAGCAGAGTCTCTCAGTCCAGACCCAAATTTGACCCCTCTGGCTATTGCATCTGAGCTGCACTCAGCTCCTGTCTAACCATCAGGGATCTAGCTCCACCTAGTGTAACGAGGAGAGTGCTACACTCACCCCCCCACTAAAAACAGCCATGTCCTCATTGGCTGGGAGGGCAAAAGAGCAAAATGGCTCCTGAGCCCAGGTGAGGCACATCCTATACGAAAAAATGAAAGGGGAAAAGGTTACAACTGGGAAGGGGAAAATACAAAATAAATAGGTACACAAATATAAGTAAATAAGTAGTACAACAATAAATACATTCCATTGATCACTTTCCATAAATTACATCTTTACACTTCCTGACTGACGCTAACTCACTAGAAGCAGGACAATGAATACAGTGACAAGATCAAATGGGTGAATCAACCAATGGTAACATGAGGATGAGGCACCTCCCCCTAGAAGGAGGCCCTTCGTCATAAAATGATATTCTTTGTTCTTCAGACGCAGGGAAGACAGCCGTCCTGAGATCTGCAAAATGGTAAGAGAACAACGCACACGTAGCCAATTACAAAATACTGCAGTCCTGACTATGACTCTCTAAACAGGCAATACGACACAACAGCAATGAAAACAGGACCATATTTGGTTGGGTTTTTTTTTTCTTTGAGTCCTTGTTTTTAAGGAGGACCCCTCCAAAGCAAGCAAAATGAATGCTGTTGGTGTCTCTGCAAAAGAAACAAACCAGACCAGCTCATCTGGAGGAAAAAACGCCAAGAGTTCGACATATCCGTATATAACGACAGTCCACTGAACCAGAATTTCAATAGTATATCTAAGGACTGCAATGGAAGACCATTGAGTCGTTGGGTCTCTGGATGGCCACAGAATAGTTCCAGTATCACGTACCTGGTATTACAGGCCAATGGAGAGAGGGCTTCCCTTGCAGCTAAGTTCCAGACTCCCCTGGAGATGGGACAGAAGGAGTCGGGCCCAAAGTAGCACGGGTCGCCTATAGGAGTTCTGGTCAGAGGTATACCCAGGAGCACAGCTGATGCACTGGAATGGTGTCTGCAGACAGGTGGTTCCCGTGAGAGGTAAGCAGGCCTTCAGGTAGCAGAGGACCACAAACTAGTCGGTTCAAAGCCAAGGTCAGATGCCGGGTGGAGATTGGAGCAGATGTAGTCAATAGGATAGCAGGGGTCATACACAGGAGAGCAAGAGAGAATATCCATTAGACAAGCCGTGTCAGATCAGGAGAGCAAGTGAGAATATCTATTAGCCAAGCCGGGGTCAGATCAGGAGTCAGGTGAGAATATCTATTAGCCAAGCCGAAGTCTGATCAGGAGAGCAGGTGAGAATATCTATTAGCCAAGCCGAAGTCTGATCAGGAGAGCAGGTGAGAATATCTATTAGCCAAGCCGAAGTCTGATCAGGAGAGCAAGTGAGAATATCCATTAGCCAAGCCGGGGTCAGATCAGGAGAGCAGGTGAGAATATCTATTAGCCAAGCCGGGGTCAGATCAGGAGAGCAGGTGAGAATATCCATTAGCCAAGCCGGGGTCAGATCAGGAGAGCAGGTGAGAATATCCATTAGCTAAGCCATGGTCACATCAGGAGTCAGGCAGAGAAGACGGGTCCAGGAACAAGCCAAGTCTGTAACATGAGATCACAGTAGCAAAGGAACACAGACAAAGGTACTGGGGAGCCAGAAATCAACCAGCAATTTGAGGGAGTGATGGGCTTCCTTATAAAGGTCATCTGGCATCAAACTGGGCTAGTGCGTGCGTAATTTTGTGCCGGTGCTTATGCGTGTTCTGGCTCGTGTCCGTGAGCCAATGCGCATAGATTTCGCCAGCATGCATTTCTGCGGCCATGCAGCAAGGTACTGGCAGGAATGCCAGGTCTCTGAGTACCTCTGCTGTGGACAGAGCCCTGACATCCATCTTGGTTGTCCTTCTCTTACAGCCACCACCCGATCTTTATGAATAGCCCTTCCTCCACTCTTTCCTAATGTCCTGGAAGTGGGCCCAGGTTCCTTCCAAATGAGGCCCTCTGAGATGCTTAGGACGTGCATGTAGTCCCAGACCAAGTCCTCCTCCCATTGTGTCCGGGACTCCCATCTGGTCTGGGTGGTCGGTCTCCTGTACTCAGGAAAGAATAGACAGAGTCTCTCTATGCCCTCCATGAGTCCTACAGCAAGGCAGCCGCTATGTTTAAAAATTATCATTTTTGGTTATAAACTAATTTGGGTTATTTTTTTTTACTAAAAAGATAACGGAATACATTTCGGCCGAGATTTATGACGAAAGATTATTTATTTGCAAAATTTTATAAGAAAAATACTTTATCAAAATTTTTGGAAATTGTTAATTTACATAGCAAAAAAAATGAAAATCCCAGCGGTGAAACAAATACCACCAAAATAAAGCTTTATCTGCTCACAAAAATGCTAAACAAATTCCTCTGGGTACAGTGTTGCATGACCGCCGTCCCAGCGCAATTGTCATTCAGAGTGTGATAGCGCTGAAAGCTGAGAAATTGGCCTAGACAGGAAGGGGCAAAGTGTCCGACTGGAAGGGGGCAAAGTGTCCAGCATGGAAGGGGTGAAAGTGTCCGGACTGAACGGGGGGGGAAAGTGTCCGGACTGGAGGGGGGGAAAGTGTCCCAGACTGGAAGGGGGCAAAGTGTCCAGCATGGAAGGGGGTGAAAGTGTCCGGACTGGAAGGGGGGAAAAGTGTCCGGACTGGGGAAGGGGGCAAAGTGTCCGGACCTGGAAAGGGGCAAAGTGTCCAGCATGGAAGGGGTGAAAGTGTCCGGACTGGAAGGGTGGGGGGAAAGTGTCCGGACTGGAAGGGGGGGAAAGTGTCCGGACTGGAAGGAGGGGAAATTTTCCGGACTGGAAGGGGGGAAAGTGTCCGGACTGGAAGGGGGGAAAGTGTCCGGACTGGAAGGGGGGGAAAGTGTCCGGACTGGAAAGGGGAAAGTGTCCGGACTGGAAGGGGGGAATGTGTCCGGACTGGAAGGGGGGGAATGTGTCCGGACTGGAAGGGGGTGAAGTGTCCGGACTGGAAGGGGGGGAATGTGTCCGGACTGGAAGGGGGTGAAGTGTCTGGATTGGAAGGGAGGAGGGGGGGGGGAAGTGTCCGGACTGGAAGGGGGGGGGAAGTGTCCGGACTGGAGGGGGTGAAGTGTCTGGATTGGGAAGGGGGGGAAAGTGTCCGGACTGGAAGGGGGGGAAAGTGTCCGGACTGGAAGGGGGGGAAAGAGGTGAACGGACTGAAGGGGGGGGGAAGTGTCCGGACTGGAAGGGGGGGAAAGTGTCCGGCCACTGGAAGGGGGTGAAGTGTCTGGATTGGAAGGGGGGAAGGTGTCTGGACTGGAAGGGGGTGAAGTGTCCGGACTGGAAAGGGGGAAAGTGTCCCATAACTGGAAGGGGGGAAAGTGTCCGGTACTGGAAGGGGGGGAAAGTGGTCCGGACTGGAAGGGGGGGAAAGTGTCCACACTGGAAGGGGGGGAAAGTGTGTCCGACTGGAAGGGGGTAAAAGTGTCCAGACTGGAAGGCGGTGAAGTGTCTGGATTGGAAGGGGGGGGAAGTTTCCGGGAAGGAAGGGGGGAAAGTGTCCGGGACTGGAGAGGGGGGGGAAAGTGCCCGGACTGGAAGGGTGTGAAGTGTCTGGATTGGAAGGGGGGGAAGGTGTCCGGACTAGAAGGGGGGGGGAAGTGTCCGGGATACATGGGAAGGGGTGAAGTGTCCGGACTGGAAAGGGGGAAAGTGTCCGGACTGGAAGGGTGGGAAAGTGTCCGGACTGGAAGGGGGGGAAAGTGTCCGACAGGAAGGGGGGGAAAGTGTCCGGACTGGAAGGGGGGGCAAAAGTGTCCCGGACTGGAAAGGGGGGAAGGTGTCCGGACTGGAAAGGGGGGGGGGGGGGATGGGAAGTGTCCGGACTGGAAGGGGTGTGAAGTGTCCGGACTGGAAAGGGAAAGTGTCCAGACTGGAAGGGTGGGAAAGTGTCCGACTGGAAGGGGTTGGGAAAGTGATCCGGACTGGAAGGGGGGGAAAGTGTCCGGACTGGAAGGGGGGGAAAGTGTCCGGACTGGAAGGGGGGGGTGAAAGTGTCCGGTACTGGGGAAGGGGGTGAAGTGTCTGTGATTGGAAGGGAGGGGGGAAGGTGTCCGTACTGGAAGGGTGGGGGGGGAGTGTCCGGACTGGAAGGGGGGGTGAAGTGTCCGGACTGGAAGGGGGTGAAGTGTCTGGATTGGAAAGGGGGGGAAGGTGTCCGGACTGGAAGGGGGGAAGGGGGGGGGAGTGTCTGGACTGGAAGGGGGGGAAAGTGTCCGGACTGGAAAGGGGAAAGTGTCCGGACTGGAAAGGGGAAAGTGTCCGGACTGGAAGGGGGGGAAAGTGTCCGGACTGGAAGGGGGGGAAAGTGTCCGGACTGGAAGGGGGGAAAGTGTCCGGACTGGAAGGGGGGGAAAAAGTGTCCAGACTGGAAGGGGGGGTGAAAGTGTCCAGACTGGAAGGGGGGGAAAGTGTCCGGACTGGAAGGGGGTGAAGTGTCCGGATTGGGAAGAGGGGAAAGTTTTCCGGGCTGGAAGGGGGGAAAGTGTCCGGACTGGAAGGGGGGAAAGTGTCCAGACTGGAAGGGGGGGAAAGTGTCCGGACTGGAAGGGGGTGAAGTGTCCGGACTGGAAGGGGGTGAAGTGTCTGGATGGAAGGGGGGGGGGAGTGTCTGGACTGGAGGGGGGTGAAAGTGTCCGGACTGGAAGGGGGTGAAAGTGTCCCAGACTGGAAGGGGGGGAAAGTGTCCGGACTGGAAGGGGGTGAAGTGTCCGGACTGGAAGGGGGTGAAGTGTCTGGATTGGAAGGGGGTGAAGTGTCTGGATTGGAAGGGGGGGAAAGTGTCCCGGACTGGAAGGGGGTGAAGTTTGTCCGGACCGGAAGGGAAAGGGGGAAAGTGTCCGGACTGGAAGGGGGTGAAGTGTCCGGACTGGAAGGGGGTGAAAGTGTCTGAACTGGAAGGGGGGGAAAGTGTCTGGGACTGGAGGGGGGGTGAAAGTGTCCGGACCTGGAATGGGCGGTGAATAAACTGGAAGGGGGTGAAAGTGTCTGGACTGGAAGTAAGGGGGGGAAAGTGTCCGGACTGGAAGTGGTGAAGTAGCGCTGCCTGTTCACGTATTCCTTTGTATCTCACTATTTAGGGGCAGCTGCTGACCTTCTTTGCCGGGATAATGTGGACGACATTTATTGTTTGGATATCCATTTATTTTAGACGCCACAATAACACCAATAATATGTATCCCGACATTCTGTATAATAAGTAACACAAATCCACCAGAAACTACCTCCTCCACCTTCATGAGAGTCCATTTATATATAAAATCCATCAGAGCCAATCATCACCACAAACAGTGCTTTCCACCACCTTCCGTGAGTGCCCATCAGTGCCTCCTCATCAGTGCCCATCAGTGCCTCCTCATCAATGCCCATCAGTGCCTCCTCATCAGTGCCTCCTCATCAGTGCCCATCAGTGCCTCCTCATCAATGCCCATCAGTGCCTCCTCATCAGTGCCTCCTCATCAATGCCCATCAGTGCCTCCTCATCAGTGTCCATCAGTGCTTCCTCATCAGTGCCCATCAGTTCCTCCTCATCAATGCCTCCTCACCAGTGCCAATCACTCACTGCCTCCTCATCAATGCCCAACAGTGCCTCCTCACCAGTGCCTCCTCATCAGTGCCAATCACTGCCTCATCAGTGCCCATCAGTTCTTCCTCATCAGCTGCCAATCACTGCCTCCTCATCAGTGTCCATCAGTGCCTCCTCATCAGTGTCCATCAGTGCCTCCTCATCAGTGCCAATCACTGCCCTGTCTCCTCATCAGTGTCCATCAGTGCCTCCTCATCAGTGCCAATCACTGCCTCCTCATCAGTGTCCATCAGTGCCTCCTCATCAGTGTCCATCAGTGCCTCCTCATCAGTGCCAATCCCTGTCTCCTCATCAGTGTCCATCAGTTGCCTCCTCATCAGTGCCAATCACTGCCTCCTCCTCATCAGTGTCCATCAGTGCCTCCTCATCAGTGCCAATCACTGCCTCCTCATCAGTGTCCATCAGTATGTTTTAAAAAATTAATTTCAGGTACTTATATAGCGTGCCTTCAACTTGCGCAGCATTTTACATATATAATTGTACATTCACATCAGTCCCCGCCCCCGAGGAGCGTACAATCTAAGGTCCCTAACTCACATTCATACATACACATACTAGGGCTGATTTAGACAGCAGCCAATTCACCTCCCAGCATGTCTTTGGAGTGTGGGAGGAAACCGGAGTAACACGGAGGAAACCCACACAAGCACAGGGAGAATATGCAAACAAATATGCAAGGCAGACGTGCTAACCACTAAGCCACTGTGCCGCCCCGCGGTGAGATGAGTATCTCATCATCAGTGCCTCTCTCATCAGTGCCTCCTCATCATGTACATCAGTTCCTCCTTATCAGTGCCAGTCAGTGCCTCCTCATTAATGCCCATCAGTGCCTCCTCATCAGTGTCAGTCAATGCTTCCTCATCAGTGCCCATCAGTTTCCTTCTCATCAATGCCTCCTCAGTGTCCATCAGTGCCTCCTCATCAGTGTCCATCAGTTCCTCCTCATCAGTGCCCATCAGTGCTTCCTCATCCGTGGTCCATCATGCCTCCTCATCACAGTGCTTCCTCAGCAGTGTCCATCAGTGCCTCCTCATCAGTGCTTTTTTATCAATGCCCATCATTGCATCCTCAGCACTGCCCATCAGTGCCTCCTCATCAGTATCCATCAGTACCTCTTCATCAGTGCCCATCAGTTCCTCCTCATCAGTGTCCATCAGTGCCTCCTCATCAGTGCCCATCACTGGCTCCTCATCAGTATCCATCAGTACCTCTTCATCAGTGCCCATCAGTTTCCTCCTCATCAGTGTCCATCAGTTCCTCCTCATCAGTGTCCATCAGTGCCCCTCCTCATCAATACCCATCAGTGTCTCATCAGTATCTCATCATCAGTGTACATCAGTGCCTCCTCATCAATGCCCATCAGTGCCTCCTGATCTGTGCCCATCAATGCCTCATCAGTGCCCATCAGTGCCTCCTCATTAGTGTCTATCAGTGCCTCCTCATCAATGCCTCCTCAGTATCCATCAGTGCCTCCTCATCAGTGTCCCATCAGTTCCTCCTTATCAGTGTCAGTCAGTGCCTCCTCATCAGTGCCTCCTCATTAATGCACATCAGTGCCTCCTCATCAGTATCCATCAGTGCCTTCTCATGAATGCCCATCAGTTCCTCCTCATCAGTGCCTCCTCATCAGTGCCTCCTCATCAGTGTCCATCAGTGCCTCCTCATTAATGTCCATCAGTACCTCCTCATCAGTGCCTCCTCATTAGTGTCTATATCAGTGCCTCCTCATCAATGCCTCCTCAGTATCCATCAGTGCCTCCTCATCAGTGTCCATCAGTTCCTCCTTATCAGTGTCAGTCAGTGCCTCCTCATCAGTGCCTCCTCATTAATGCACATCAGTGCCCTCCTCATCAGTATCCATCAGTGCCTTCTCATGAATGCCCATCAGTTCCTCCTCATCAGTGCCCATCAGTGCCTCCTCATTAATGTCCATCAGTACTACCATCCTCATCAGTGTCCATCAGTACCTCCTCATCAGTGTCCATCAGTACCTCCTCATCAGTGTCAATCAGTGTCTCCTCATCAGTGTCCATCAGTGTCTCCTCATCAATACCCATCAGTGTCTCATCAGTATCTCATCATCAGTGTACATCAGTGCCCTCCTCATCAATGCCCATCAGTGCCTCCTGATCTGTGCCCATCAATGCCTCATCAGTGCCCATCAGTGCCTCCTCATTAGTGTCTATCAGTGCCTCCTCATCAATGCTCTCTCAGTATCCATCAGTGCCTCCTCATCAGTGTCCATCAGTTCCTCCTTATCAGTGTCAGTCAGTGCCTCCTCATCAGTGCCTCCTCATTAATGCACATCAGTGGCCTCCTCATCAGTATCCATCAGTGCCTTCTCATGAATGCCCATCAGTTCCTCCTCATCAGTGCCTCCTCATCAGTGCCTCCTCATCAGTGTCCATCAGTGCCTCCTCATTAATGTCCATCAGTACCTCCTCATCAGTGCCTCCTCATTAGTGTCTATCAGTGCCTCCTCATCAATGCCTCCTCAGTATCCATCAGTGCCTCCTCATCAGTGTCCATCAGTTCCTCCTTATCAGTGTCAGTCAGTGCCTCCTCATCAGTGCCTCCTCATTAATGCACATCATGCCTCCTCATCAGTATCCATCAGTGCCTTCTCATGAATGCCCATCAGTTCCTCCTCATCAGTGCCCATCAGTGCCTCCTCATTAATGTCCATCAGCTACCTCCTCATCAGTGTCCATCCAGTACCTCCTCATCAGTGTCCAATCAGTTACCTCCTCATCAGTGTCAATCAGTGTAACTCCTCATCAGTGTCCATCAGTGTCCCTCTAGTTGGGAGGGGGGGTGTTTGGGGTGGGGGTAGTGGAAGTGTAGGGGGGAAGGGTGGGAGGGTGGGGGGGTGAGGTGGGGAGGGGGGGTGTTAGGGGAGAGGAGGAG